TGAGCCTCTTGACCACTGGTGTCGTCGTAGACGTAGTCATCAATCAGCCTCCTTGAGCCAATCGATCCTAGCGGCGGCCATGCCACCGCGTCCTGCTGGTAAAGCCCAGCGCTCAGCAAGCTCCTCCCCCGTCGGCAGCGCAACTGGTGCCCTGCGGTAGTCGCGCTTACGAGAGCCAACACCTGTGCCTGCAAGAACCCGAGAGGGTCGAGCAACTTCAGCCCGTCGACCTTGCCTGCGCGCCTCGTTCAGCTCGTCAACCGTGTCCTCACGCCAGCGTCTCCAATGCTGCCGTCGTGCAGATCTCAGCCACTTCGTACGACAGCGAAGTTGCCATTGTACCTCCAAGAGAGCTGGCCTGAGGGACTCGTCAATCTCTCCGTTTGGACATATAACCTCAGTGTACACACTGGCCTCCACAGGGCCGTGTGGACATATAGCCTCAGTGTACCCGCGTGCCTCCACAAGGCCAGGGCATACTACCTCAGTGCGCGCGCCAAGTTGGCGCCGAAGTTCCCGTTGTCGATCGAGGAGGGGTTGAATAGCCGCCGCAAGTGTACGATATCCAGGCCGGTACTCGGGAGACCTCGCAAAATGCTTGCCGCCGATAGTGAGTAATGCATCCATGCAGAAACCTCAGTCGTTATTTGGTGTCTGCTCCTCTCGTTGTATCTGCTTCCACGTATCCTCAGTAGATCGCATATATGCTTCCAGTTCCAAGAGAAAATCGGCACGCCCCTGTCCACTACGAAGTGACTGCATAAGAGCTTCGCGATTCCAAGGATATAGGCGTGGCACATAGCCGAGCCGTACGTTCTCGACCATGTCGCTGTGGATGTGAGCGTCCGTAGTCTGTTCAATTGAGTACTCCATGCACAGATGTCCTGGCACGTGATCGCGCGCCTGCACCGTAGAGATAACCTGTAGGTCACGCCCGAGCCGTCGAAGGGGGCCCGCCGAGGTAACGTCGCCCAGCAGAGTCTTCGGCATGATCACAAAATCGATCTGCGTGGCGGTCTTGGCCCCAAAGAACGTGGGGCCGCTGCCGATGTAGGTGTTGACCGCCACCATGCCGAGCTCCTCCGTCAGCGGCAGGATGCAGTCGGCCGCGAAGCGCTGCTTGTCCTTGGCCGCGGAGCCGAAGACATCGGACCCGACTGCCCGCCAAGTGCTGTCCCCGTCTAGCTGCTGCAAGCCGAACCCCGAGTTCAAGTCGATGCAAAAGATCGGGGGCACCCGCTTGGTGCCCAAGTACGGCAGAGTGCGCAGCCAGTTGGTCAGAGCATCGCAGGTACGGCGATAGACATCAGCGCTACCCTTCACAGGCGGCGGCGGGAAGTAGGCCGAGCAGACCCCTATGTCGTACTTCGCGCAGCGCGCCCTCAGCGCCAGACCGCGTCCAGCGAGCGAGGCAGGAGGCGTCCACGTGTGGGTGATGGAGCCGCGCCGAATCTTGGCCCCAAAAATGATGCTGCAGCCCGTACTCTTGTTCGCGAGCGGCCCCCGAGCCCACCCGCTCTCGATGCACCAGTTGTGGTCGCCTGCCCGTCGCCATAGCGCCTCCCACTGGTGCTCCCTGCCGTACCCCTTGGCTGTAGTTCCGTTCAAGCACACGAAGTCGTAGGCCCTGCAGGCCTGAGCGATGGACGTGATCCTCTCGCCACTCGACGCGTGCATGGGGTTGTACTGGAGCACGCGCATGCGTCGCCCAGCCATGAGGACGAGCAGGAGCCAGCAGCCCACACTGAGGCATCTAGAACCCATCGCGAGAAAGTGTAGATGTGAAGGGGATGTCCCCAAGCGGAGGAGGAGGAGGAGGAGGAGGAGGAGGAGGAGGAGGAGCAGGAGGAGGAGGAGGAGGAGGAGGAGGAGGAGGAGGAGGAGGAGGAGGGAGGAGGAGGGAGGAGGAGGCAGGAATGAGGAGAAGGAGGAGGTGAAGGAGGAGGAGAAGGAGGAGGAGGAGAAGGAGGAGGAGCAGGAATGAGTAGGAGGAGGAGGAGGAGGAGGAGGAGGAGGAGGAGGAGGAGGAGGAGGAGGAGGGGAAGAGGAGGAGGGGGAGGAGGAGGAGGGGAAAGAGGGGGAGGAGGAGGCGGAGGGAGGAAGGAGGGGGAGGAGGAGGCGGAGGAGCAGGGGAGGAGGAGAGGAGGAGGAGGAGGAGGCAGGAATGAGGAGGAGGAGGCAGGAGGAGGAGAGGAGGAGGAGGAGGAGGAGGAGGAGGAGGCGGAGGAGGAGGGGGAGGAGGAGGAGGAGGAGGAGGCAGGAGAGGAGGAGGAGGAGGAGGAGGAGGAGGAGGAGGAGGAGGAAGGAGGAGGAGGAGGGAGGAGGAGGGAGGAGGAGGATGGGGGAGGAGAAGGCGGATGAGCAGGAGCAGGAGGAGGAGGAGGAGGCAGGAATGAGGAGGAGGAGGAGGAGGAGGAGGAGGAGGAGGAGGAGGAGGAGGCAGGACTGAGGAGGAGGAGGAGGAGGAGGAGGAGGAGGAGGAGGAGGAGGAGAAGGGGGAGGAGGAGAAGAAGCCACCCTCCCCAACGGCCCAGGGCCAGGGCCTGGGTCCTGGGTCTCTGTGAAATTGCTGGGCTCCTTCAGGAGTGCGGGTCCTGTGCGCGAAAGGCAAGCCGGAAGGCCTCCTGCATCAAAACAATGCAGGGAGCTACCAGGAGACCCATGACAGCCCCCAGTTCAAAGATGGTGCCCTGAAGGACGGGACCTTAGGACGAGGAGCCTCAACAGTGTAAATCTAACCTGTGATCCCTTCCGATCCTTAGGGCCCCATCCCTCAGGGCTTCATCTTCGAACGGTCCGACTCCCGCCCCGGCTCTCGGGTGCGCCACGTCCTTCACCGACCCGTGCCACCGCCGCTTCCTCTCGTCCCTCTCCCCGTCGACCGCTGGGGTGTGGCAAGGCCACAGGCAGCCCGCAGCTGCTTGCGCAAGGAGGACGACGCGGAGGAGCGCCACCGCTGGCCCAGGAAGGGGGACGCACGGGTGGATGGATCGATGACGCACGGGTCGATGGGTCGACGATCCTCAGAACGTATGACGGCGCCCACGTGTGTTTGCCCACTGAGGCCCTCCAAAGCGACGCAGGCGGCGTACTCAGTGAGGGCGAAAACGGGCTGCGTGGGATCGACGGCGCTGGACGGGATGTGAACAAACACTGGGCCAACACGCGTCCTCAAGGACCACCGAATGAAGCGTGGCGGGCTGGGCGAGAGAGCGGTGGAGCTCGCCCGCCGCAAGCAGCTCGGCACGGCCGAGGGCCTGGGCAGAGCTGCAGGCCCCACTCCTCTCCGGAGTGGCCTCGGCAGAGCTGCAGGCGCTGCGCACGTGCGGGGGGGGGAGCGCCAGACTTCTGGAGTCAAGTCGGGCCTGTCCCTCTACAGGGGGAATGTTCAAAAATTGTACCACACTGATCTGGGGACGATGTTTTGAATACTTTTTGGCCATTTCGGGGTATGTTTGGACTATTTTTCTTTGTCGTGCAAAATCCGCCTGTAGGGAGACAGGCCCAGCTTAATTCTGGAGTCCAGAAGAGCCAGGACGGCCAATCTTTTTGGCTTTGGCCTCCGAAATCCGTCTATCAGGACCGCACATCGACATACACGATTCACGCCGCGAGCTCCATGCAACAACGTCGAGACCTCCCAAACCTCACGTATTGAACGATTGGTTCTTTTTGGCGTCTCAGCATTCCCCCACTTTGTTATTCCTGCGGGGGCATATTCTTGCCCCCGCTGGTAAGAACCACCCTCGTTCTGCTTTTCGCTGACTTCCGCGGGGCTTCCACCGAAGCTGACAAGTCAACTTCTCCATCCTCTGTGTCTTGACCAAGTCAGGGCGTCGGAGGCCTCGGACAGTGGCACCGCCGCCGTGCGCGCTCAGCAACCGCCCAGCGGCAGCGTGTGCAGTCGACCCGCATCACGAGGATCCACGATAAGGATGCAAAGGGCCTTGGAAGGCCGTTTCGGAGCACGAACGTTGCCAAGGAGTGACCGAGGAGGCAAGGACGCAAGGGTGCCCTTGGGAAAATTGCCCATCCTTACCATGCGGGTTGACTGTACGTGTCCAGTCGGCACGGGGGCCGCCTCGACGGCTCTCCCCAGCTGGGATCGACCGCCGGGGCTCGGACGCGCCGCCGCTGCCGGGAGTGGCCCCGCCGCCGGGCGGAGCCGTGCCACGCCGGGCGCGCAGGGTCGGGTTCGGGGCAAGCCTCTGTTGTTGCATGGTCTTGCTGCTTTGTTTTACAGTGGGGGCGTTGACCTAAGGAACGCTAAATAAGGAACGAGGCCCCTTTTTCCCATCAGTGAAAGTTCGATTCCCCATCGAAAACCTAGGGAAAACCTGAGGCAAGCTGTCAAACAATCAAGGAACACGGAGCCCCTCCCCGACGAAAAGGGTTCCTTCTTCAGGGCCCCGGCTGTACTTTGCGAATCCGATTCGGACTCGCAGGCGGTTTGGTTGAAGACGCTGGTTACGACCTGTTGCTCCTCGGCCAGGGGAACGAGTTGAAACGCCGGGGGCCTGTGCGGCCTGTGGCGCCCGCTGGGGTGCACTGGCGGGGTGCCAGGGACGCGGAGTCGGAAAAGCTCGTTGCATTGGTGCAAGGACGGCCTCCTGTTCCTGTTGAAATGGCAAGGATGCCTTCAACGCAAAAAAAACATGCGCCAAGCTTCTCTTTGGATGTTTCTCGAACGAAGAACTACGGGCTCTTCAAAACGCATGGCGTAGGCCCGGGCTGCGCAGGAGGCGATGCTTACTTAAGGACCACTCGTGAGAACTGGCGCTGATTGCCCCCATATCGGAAGCATCACCGCCTATATAATGCATCCCTCCTCGATCCAGGAAGTGGGCCTTCGCTACTTACCCGATGCTGCGGGAGCAACCGGCATTCGTTCGCTGCCGTGGAGACCTCGATTGTCGGCTGCTATCGCACGGGGTCCGAACAGTATGCGACCTCAGGAGGCGAGGGAGGGGAGGTGGGAGTTCGGGTGAGGTCCCCCCTGCCTTAAACTCAGCCACAGGAATCCCCTTGATCGGCTTCACCTCCGACGCCGCCGACTCGGCGCCCACCGTGCTCTCGGAGTCCCCGCGGTCTGCGGCCGCGCGCGGCCCCAGGCTGTCCGCCTCGGCGGTGGGCACGGCATCCTCGTCGCCAGACTCGTCCTGCCGACATGCTGCGGGCAACCCTGTGGCGTGCCTCGGCTCTGTCCACTCGCCGCCCTCCACCGTGGTGAAGAGGTCGAGATCGTCGCCCACAAGCGGAACGCTCAGGGATCCGACCTCGGGCGGGGGCGAGGGCCGCGCGCCGTCCGACGGGTCTGGCACTATCTGGTAGAGGACAAAGCACGCGTCGTCGCTGATCCGCTGGATGTCCACCACGGGGTAGGGCAGCGAAAACGGAGGCTTGTTGTAGTCGTACTCGGTGTACTCCTGGTGCTTGTCGATACGAGTTTCCCATCCAGTGTTGGCGCTGGAACGATGAATGTGCGTCAACAGATATCTCGGGCGAGTGCACACAACGCGCTTCATGGCGTTCACGGCGTCTGGCAAAGCCATGTAATTGAACAAGTCCTTCGCAACCGCAAGATCACATCCACATGGCATGATTTCCATGCCCTTCAAATTCGACACATCTGTCTGAATGAAATGCAGCTTAGGAAATCTGTTAAAATTGACCCACAGACAAAAAGGCTGGATGTCCACCCCAATGTAAGTAACCTGCGGGTGGTCTTCAAGAAAATGCCTCATCCATGACATGTCTCCACAACCAACATCAAGAATAGAACGGATGTCCGGACAGCGTGCGAGCACTCTGTTGAGCGCGTTGACTGCGAGCCTCGCCATCGGATTCCAGGGGTCAGGGCGCAACTTTGCCAACGTGTTGAAGCCACCCAGCAGGTTCGTCTGATACAGCGCCCCCAGGTCGTCAAACTTCTTCTGCAAAGACGCCACGTCTGGCCTCCACTCGTCCGCGACCTTCATGTCGCACTCGAAGGTCACCTCCAACGGCAACTTCAACACCTGCAGCTCATGCTTCCGCAACCGCGTGCACTCGTGGAGCCCGTCCATCTCCGAGACCACTCTGATGCATTCGCTCCCGCGGGCGATGACCTGCTTCTCCACTTTGCAGGGGGACTGCAAAATCATGTCCTCACCTATGCCTGAACACAAGTCTGACCATGCGTCGGCATCCCTGAAAGGTACCGTCACCTGATATCTGACGACCATGCTCTCTGGGATGGTTAAGACGGAATGGCCTTCTGGGCATCTGTGACATTGAACTGACAAGCGCTGTTCAGAGAAATAAGAACTGCGTGTGCTGATGTCCATCTCTGAAAGCGAGTCCATTGACTGCTCCTCGTCTATTACTGGGGCGTAAAAGCTCTCCCAGAACCCCCATTCACCGTTGAACTGCTTGGACAATGGTGTCGCATCTGTGATCTGCCTCGTGCGCATCACAAAGAACATGTCCAGGCCGACCTTGGCCACATTATGCTCCTCTTCGTCCCACTTCCTGGCCAAATCCGATCCCCTGCGGAACACGACTATTTCCTCGCAGTGATCGTGAGGAGTTGCAAACGCCCAGGCTTCCTTTGCAGAGTCGGAAGAAACCACGTTCCTGCATACGCCTGCTGCGTCCCCCGTCCGGGAGAAAAGAGAAAAGTGTGGAGGGCATGTGGGAGACAGGCGGGTGGGGAGGGCAGATGGCGGGAAATGGGGAGGGAGAGGGGGATGGCTGATGGGAGAAGAGAGACGGGCAGTGCCTGTGGGGACGAACAAAGGGACGACGGCCGAGGAGAGTGGGGGACAGAGGGGGGGGGAGACGGCGAGTGGAGAAGGGGCAGCTGCTCGGAGGGACGGAGGGAGAGAGGACGTGGAGACGGGAGGGCAAGGATGATGCCGATGATGAGGACGAGGAGGGAAGGCGAGGGGGGACGCGGAGGGAGGAGAAAGGGGGAGAAGGATGGAGGGTAGAGGGAGGAGGGGGAGAGTGAAGGGCAGGAGGAAAGAGGAGGGGCTGGGACGCGCAAGGGGCGCGAGACTCTGCACCCTGGGTCCTTGCGTCCGAAGCGATAGGGCCGGAGGCCCGGCGCGGAGCCACGGCCGAAAGCGGCGAAGGCGAAGTCGCGCAGCATCCACTCCGGGGGTTCGGACCCAGGGATTACCGCCGTCATCCTCAGGAGGATGCCAACTTCACCTCCTCCTCCTCCTCCTCCTCCTCCTCCTCCTCCTCCTCCTCCTCCTCCCCCTGCTCCTCCTCCTCCTCCTCCCCCTCCATTGCTTTTCCTTATAAATAACTTCTCCCTGTCGCACCCCGAAACCAACTTTTAGGGCGGGCCGGGCGTGTCGCCGGGCGGGCCGAGGCCAGTTATGATCCTGAAGCTTTGAAATTGGCAACAGTTTCGCAGAGTGAGGGCGGGTGGTTATCAACATGTGGCTCTCGCCCTTGCGCCGCGCACGTTCGTTTCAATATTTGCTAGACTCTCACGGATTGAGGGCGAATGGATTTCAACATGTGGCTCTCGCCTTAGTGCCGCGTGAATTCGTTTGTTAAACATGTCAGGGTTTCACGGATTGAGGGCGGTTCCTTTTCAAAATGTGGCTCTCGCCTTAGCGCCGCGCACATTCTTTCTTCAAACATTGCCAAGGTTTCACGGATTGAGGGCGATTCCTTTTCAAAATGTGGCTCTCGCCTTAGCGCCGAGCACATTCGTTTTAAACATTTGCAAGGCATTCGCGGATTCCCATTCTTAGCGTACCAGAACAAAAAGTGTGTTTTGGAATGATTCAGGATTCTGAGGGTGCAACAGTTGCGCTGATTCGCGGTGTCGAAGTCCCAAGAGTGGCGTTCTGGAACGATTAAAGATCTTCAAGACGCAACAATCAAATTGATCCGTGGCGTTGACATCCCGAGAACAATGCATTGGCATACTTCTGGGTCTTCAAACGGGTGTCTTCCAACGAGGCAGCTCCCTCAGTGGAAATGAACCCTTGTAGGGGCCTGTGAAGAGGGAGCTTGGAGGGAGGGTTTCCTTTAACATCGTTGCTGACTCTTGGGTTTACTCTGCTCCTCCTCCTCCTCCTCCTCCTCCTCCTCCCCGTCCTCCTCCTCCTCCTCCTCCAACTCCTCCTTCCTCCGCCTCCTCCTCCTCCTCCTCCTCCTCCCCCTCCCCTGCTCCTCCCCCGCTCCTCCTCCTCCTCCTCCTCCTCCTCCTCCTCCTCCTCCCTCCTCCCCTCCCTCCTCCTCCTCCTCCTCCTCCTCCTCCTCCTCCTCCTCCTCCACCCCTCCACCTCCTCCTCCACCTCCACCTCCTCCTCCTCCTCCTCCTCCTCCTCCTATAACCTCCTCCTCCTCCTCCCCCTCCTCTTCCTCCTCTTCCACCTCTTCTCCTCCTCCTCCTCTTCCTCCTCCTCCCTTTTGTCCTCCACCTCTTCTTCTTCTCCCCCTCCCCCTCCCCAGCGCCTCCACCTCCTCCTCCCCCTCCCCCTCCCCGTCCTCATCCTCCTCCCCTCCGCCTCTCCTCCTCCTCCTCCTCCTCCTCCTCCTCCTCCCTGCCTCCTCCTCCTCCGCATCATTTCCTTCCTCCTCCTCCTCCTCCTCCCTGTCGTCCCCCAGTCCTCTTCCTTGAAGATAACTCCTCTCTGTCGCACTCCGAAACGTGTTGGTAGGGCGGACCCAGCGTTTCGACTGAGACTTCCTCACGCGTTATGATCCTGAAGCTTGTTCTCTGCAAGGGTGTCACGGATGGAGAACGGTCCGCTTCCAACATGAGGCTTTCGCCCTAGCGCCGTGCACATTCGTCTAGCAAATTGTAGGGGCTTCATGGATTGAGAGGGAGCCATGTGTTAACTGCGGTTCTCGCATTAGCGCCGCGCGCATTCGTCTGAACATCATGCCAGAGTTTCACGGATGGAGCGAGGCCGCTTTCAAACTGAGACTTTCGCCCTCCCGCTACGTACGCTTGTCTCGCATGTTTGAAGACGTTTCGCGGGTGGAAAGCGGCACCTTCTCAAAAGGTGCTCTCGCTTTAGCGCCGCGCGCATCTGTCTTAATCTGTACGCATGTCAAATATTACCATGGGCAATGTTCCAAAAACCGTGTTTTGGAACGATGCAGGATTGTCAAGGCACAGAATTTACGTTGACTCGCGGTGGTGACGTCCCGCGAACGGCGTTCTGACACGATTCAAGATCGTCAAGGCGCAACAAAAATATTGGCTCTTCGCGTTGACGCCCCAAGAGTGATGCTCTGGCACGGTTCAGTATGTTCCAACGGTTGTCTTCCAACGGGGCAGTTCCCTCAGTGTAGATGAAACCTTGTAGGGGCCTGTGAAGAGGGAGCTTGGAAGGAGGGTTTATTGCAACATCGTTGATGACTCTTGGGCTTCCACTGCCGACCAATCCTGGCCAGGCCAAGCCTGGGCCCAAGATCGGTGCACGCACTCCCCCCAACTGGCCTGGCCAGGGATGGGCGCACACACACGCACACAAAGACAAGCACAAGCACAAACACACACGCAAACGCAACCACAAACACAAGCACACGTACAAACACAAGCACAAGCACAACCACAAACATAACCACAACCACAACCACAAACACACAAACAAACACCATCACACACAAACACACACACACAAACAACAACAAACGCACCAACACACACATACACAAACACAAATATACACACACGCAAACGCACGCACACGCAACACACACAACACCACACAAACACCACACAAACACAAGCACACATACACAACAACACCCATACACACAACAACCACAAACACATACAATCACACGCACAAGCACACATACAAACACAACCACAACAACAAACACAGGACACAACCACACCCACAAACACACAAGCAAAAATACACACGCACAACAACTTTTTGCGTCGGCGGCTGGCTGCGCGAAGAAATTGACGTGTCACGTGGCTGAAAGCTGATCGTGTGCCAGAGCAGCGATGGCGGATGACCAGCGACAGTGGCAGGAAGGCGCCGAGATCTGATGACCTGGGAATCGCGGGGGGGGGGGGGGGCACGCGTCGAACAGCGAGGCGGCTGAGCACTAAGATCTTCGGACCTTTTGCGACTGAGCAGTGGCGGCAGTGGTATCGGCGGGCTGGGTCTGGGGCAGCTCGCAGAACGTGCCGAGGGCAATGATCTGCGCGCAGCCCGCCGCGGAGGCCTGGGATATCGCCTCGAGACCGCGCGGGCCGCGCGCGACCTTCACGCTGGCAGGAGGCGACAAGTAAACGGGCAGCTTGCTGGTGATTTCGGGCATGACGTGCCCCATCGTCGTCAACGTGCCCGCGCGGCCGAGCTGAAGCTCCGCCTGGCGCCTCCTGGCGAGGTCCTCCGTGCTACCATTCGCCGCGGGCCAAATAAGGTCCCAGAAGTTCGCGGACCTGGGCGTGCGCGCCTGGGCGCAGAGATCGCCCGCAGCGGCAGCGGGGCCAGCGGACTGGTCCTGGGGCGGCTCGCTGAGGGCGCCGTGCGTCGCGATCAGCGCCCAACCCGCCGCGGGAACTTTGGAGATCGAGGCGAGGCCGCTCGGGGTGCCCGCGAACTTCCAGCAAGCGGGCGGCAACGTGTACCCTGGCAGCGTGCGGGTGATGTCTGAGGTCATGCACCGTACCGTCGCCAGTACGGACACGCGGCCGTGATCCAGCTTGGTCTGACGCCAGCTGACGAAGCCATCCGTGCCGCCATCCGCGGTGAGGCCAGCGGGATCCCAGCCAACGGTGCCCCGCACGCCCAGCTCGCTCCCGAGCGCGCGCAGCGGGGGGCCCGTGCAGCGCGCCCAGTCGCCCCGGGCGGGGCCAGCCCCGCCGACATGGAAGAACATGCCAATGGTCGCCATCATGGCCAAACGACTGTTGACGAGCTCAGCCGCCAGCTTCTTCCGCTTGTCCTCGGCGTCGCTGGGCGCCAGCGCGTGGAAGCCGAAGTCATCCGCCGCGGCAGTGGAGTCAGCGGTCCCAAGGGCCGCGGCGGCGCATGCAGCGAGCGCGGCCGCCCGCACAAGCGAGGCCGCGGCCGGCCAAAAGCCGGCAGCGGCCGCGGAGGCGGCGGCGGCCGCGGCCGCGGCGCAAGCGGCGGCCAGAGCGGGCGCGGCCGCGCGAAGGGCGGCGGCCGCGCCAGCGGCCGCGGCGCCGCCCGCGGCGCCGCCAGCGTCAGGGCCCCCAGCTGACGCCGGCGGGATGCCGGGCGGCGGGGCAGCGCCGGCGGCGGCGAGCAGCACGCGTCGACAGCGCAGCAGCAGCAGGGCCGCGGCCAAGGGGGGGCCAGCACGGCGCCGCTGCGGGCAGACATGCAGGGGCGCGCTGCGGCGGCGGCCGCGGTGCGCGGCCCGGCCGCGCCGCGCCGCCCAGGCCGCGCCGGCCAACCTCGAGCCCCGACCCCAGAGGGAGGAGGCCCTCCCCCCCGGAGACGCCTTGAGCCAGGACGCTCACAACAACACACAAAAACACAAACACAAACACACACACACACACAAACACACACATACACATAACAACTAACAAAAGCACGCACACATATACAACACAACCCCCCCATACACACAAACAGGCACGCAAACAGGCACCCAAACAGGCACACGAACAGGTACACAAAAAGAAACGCAAACACACAAACACACACACAAGCACGCACAAACACACACAAACATACACAATCACAGACACAACCACAACCACAAACACACACAAACACATACACACCACAACGCACAAACACAAACACACGCACAGAAACACACACACACAAACACACAAGCACAAACACAAACACATGCACAAAACAAGACCCACACACAAACAGGCACACAAACACAAACAGACACACAAGCACACAAACAAACACACAAACAAACACACAGACACACAAGCACAGGCACAAGCACACATACACACAACAAACACACATACACACAAACAACCACAATCACAAACACAAACACACACAACCATGACAGCAACCACACACCGCAACACATACACAAGTACAAACACATACAAGCAGGCAAACAAACACAAGCACAAACGCAAACACACACAAACACACACAAACCACACGCAACCACAAACACACACACAAGCATAAACACAAACACACATACAAGCACACTCACAAACACAAGCACAACCACAACCGCACACACAGCACACACGAACACACACACACGCACACGCACACGCACACGCACACGCACACACGCACACACGCACACACGCACACACACAAACGTACAAGCACAAACAAACACACACACACTGTTACCCCCTTCTTCGACGCCTCGTGGTTTTCGGGTCATAACTCGGGCCTCTGGCTGCCGCTCGGGGGGACTCGGGCACCCCCCGCAAAGCTTCTGGCGAGGAGCCGCTGCTGGGCAGCGCCCCGAGGCCTGAAGGCCAGTGGGGGCCGAGAGCCAAGCGAGAACCTCGGACGCGAGGGCGCCCCCGAAGGCTCCCCCCTCCCCTAGGGCCCCCCCCCCCTGGGCAGGGCGGCGGACGCTCTGCCCGGTCCTTGAGCCTCGGTGGCTCCGGCCCTCCTCGTCGACCACCTCGGAGGAGTGCACCATGAAGCACAGGTCGGGGGCCTCCATGGCTCGCCGGGCCCGCGCGGCCGGTCGGCTGGCGGCGGGCCCCCTCCCGTGGCTCGGGCGCCGCGTGTCCTGAGCCGGTTGCACGGATGCAGCGGTGCTCGCGGGGCTCGCCCAGGCCAGGTGAGGGGAGCCCCCCAGGGTTGTTGGGGGTGGAAATGGGCACCAACACCAACACAGGGGGCTGCCTCCACAGGGAGAGGGTGATCCTGGATTTCGGTGTTGGTGGTCATATTTCTGTCACCTTGGAAGCCAGAATATTACCACCATCGCCGAGATCGGGATCTTCTTCCCTCGGTGGAGGCACACCGCCGATATTGGTGCTGGTGTCAACCTCGAGGCCTGCGACATGGGGGGGCTCGAAGCGTGGGGCATGCCACCAGGGGCGGGGCGATGCATACGGGCGCTGCCACTGGCGCTCTCGGTGGAGCTCCCCATGGAGCCACGAAACGCGCGAGCTGTGCGTACCACAACGGGCGGGCGGGCGCTGCCACCTGGGGGGCCTTCGGTGGAACTTTCCACGGGGTCACGGAATGTGCGAGGGCTGCAGCTGTGTGGGAAGCGGGCGAGCGCCTACGGCTCGAGGGGTTGCAATCCGTGATGGTTATTTGGCTTCAGGCCTGGCTGAGTTGCGCGGGTGGCCCAAGCCGGGCCGACGCGGCCGAGGGAACGGCGGGGGAGGGAGAGAGGGAGGCGGGGCAAGCTAGGCGCGCTCGCGCCATATCTGGCATCCTACCCCATCCCATCCATCCCTTCCCACTGCGCCGATTTTTTGTTCTATCCGCCGACGGGGGCCTTTGCGGACCTGGACCCCCCAGCAGGACGCCATCGTGTTATGCGCAATCAGAAAGGGGGGATCTGCTCACACTGGAGGAAAAAGGTGGATGAGCAGGAGGGAAGAGGATGATGCTGATGCTGATGCTGATGAGGAGGAGAAGGAGGAGGACGAGGAAAAACAGCACCAGAGGGAATGAGGGAGAAAGAAGAGGGATACATCAATGCGCAGGGAGAGGACGAGAACCAGAGGGAGAGGCATACACGCACATGCACAAGTATGTCCGCCGCCGTACCTCGAGCACATAGTGCAGTGCCCTATGGCTCCCACCGTTGTAGTGGGTGCTGGAAGACTGTGAAGGCTGTTGAGGGCCAAACCGAAGTCAAACCAACTTGCCAGGCTGTGTCGCATGAACCTCCCGGGCCCAGAATTGTCAAAAAGCACGCGGTGCTTCAACAAGGTAGCACTCATGTATACCACGTGCCCAGACCATGAAACGCCTAAGACTATCCCAAGATCCCGCCAAGAGGTTTCCTGGAGAACCTCTAGGAGCTTCAAGACAACGTGGCTGAAAAGGACAGGATCCAATATAAGTTGTGTAAACGTATACGTGTATGATAGAACCGCGCGCGCCACGCGCGCTTGGGTTCTAGTCACGAGCCGACTCCGAAGACGCTGTCAACAAGATCGGCCCAGAAAGCCTGGCGCCGTGAGGAACAACCAGAATGAGGCGATTCGTCGGCTACGCCTGCCCTTGCCACAATGGCAGGTCCAACTGTGCTGGTCTTTCCCAGCGGGCGCTTCTTGGAGTGAAAACGAACCTTGTAGGGACGTGTGGGGAGGGGACTTGGGATGAGAGGGAGTATTGCAGCATCGCTGATGCACCTTGGGCTTACTCTGGTCCTCATACCCCTCCTCCGTCTCCTCCGTCTCCTCCGTCTTCTCCTCCTCCTTCTGCTCCCCGCGCAGTCGCCTAGGATTGGGGGACCCTCCTGACAGAGAACACTGGACGCACGCGAGACCCAAGGTCTGTCCGAAGGGTGGGTTCGAACTGGAGTGCAGCCCGCCGCAACAACGATGACCCAAATCAACTCCCGTCTTCTCCGTACTTCGCTGCTAAAGCCGCGGCGCCTCTGAAGACAACGATCACGACAACGACCACCGTGACGACGACGACGGCGACCAAAATCACCCGACATCGCCACTCTGTCGTACAATGCGCTTGGAGCAATGTTGGCTTGGTGTCCGCAGGGTCAGAGCAGCCGTTGGCGTAGCTTGCACCACATCGATTACTCCGCGTAGCTGACACCACACGCATTGCACCACACAGCTTGCACCACACAAGTTGTACCACACATACGTGCTGCGCTACATATGTATTGTGCCACACAGCTCGCACCACGTAGTATACACATGCAGGGTGCAATAGCGTGCTATTTTTGGGTCCAAGCTGGTGAACAGCCCATACTGCGCAACGGTTGCGAGGATGGGGGGCGGCCCCTGCTCCAAGCTGGGCTGTCGCTGGGCACGTACCTGAACTTTCTGACCCCACCTTGTCGCAGGACATATGCCAATTTCTGTGTACAAAGGACGTCCCACCCTAACTGCGGGCACATTCGGCGACCGTTTTTTAAGTGAATCACTTCGAACAATGAGCGAAGCTGCTTGTATGGACTACATCGCCGCGACAAGAACGTCTTACAATTGTCGCTCGCCACTGGCGCGGACACGCATCCTTCTCGACGGTTCATAGGGTTTGGCGCGAAATGGTTTTCGATCCCGGAACGCGGCAACCGGGTATGAGAACATTCGGGCTCACAACGCCGCCAGCGAATGGCGCAAGCACCGCATTGTGCTGAGGATGTTGGACGGGATGGGAGGTATCTTCGCCGGTGCGAACTGGAGAACGTGTTGTCACAACTGTGTAATGAAGAAGGGACTGGGGACGAAATTTCCTCCTGCTCCTTCTCCTCCTCCTCCTCCTTATACTACCCTTCGTCCTCGTCATCCCACTCTTCCATCCATCCTAACCCTCATCCCCATGTCCAATCCCCTCCTCCTGCACCCGTGAGCATCGTTTAACCGATCCCCATCCTCACTGGCATGGCCTCCGCCCAACTGGCCAACCTACACCCCCCACGAGGTAGGGATAAGTGCTGTTCCCTTCGGGTTTCGCGGGACCCATCTCCATCCTGGGAGGGTGGGCTGGTGGGGCTGAGATACCCAGTGGAGATGGGGATACACCCCATTCTATCCTTCGTCCTCGTTCTCGTCATCCCTCTTCTCCTCCTCCTCCTCCTCCTCCTCCTCCTCCTCCTTCTTGACGTTGCGCAAACTTAGGGTTGCAGCCTGGAGCGTGACTTGATAAAAGGAAAAGAAGACGCCGCCTTCGCGGAGCGAAACACAAATTAGGCCTGGCTGGCGCAGCCGAGCAGGAAAGTCAAAAAAAACAGGACGAGAAGAGGGTCCCCAAAGGGCTCAGAGTATGCGCCAGCCAGGCGGTGTGAGAGGATGGCGAGGAGGGGGAGGAGGCGATCTCCTCCCCCTCCTCGCCCTCCTCCTCACACCCATCCTCCCCCTCCCGTCCCCAATAACTTTCCCAAACCTCCGACGTCGTGTCTTCTCACGAGGTGGCTCCGCAAAAGGTCGCGACCTTTCCCTGGGGTCACCGTTTTTTCATTCCTGGGGCCACTCCTTGACGGCCCCTGGATGATTTGTCCGCCCCTCTCTGCCGTCTCCGTCCGGCGACCCAGCGGCATAAGCAACAATGCAATACTCGAGCAAGAGATCGATTTCTCAGTCGAATCAGCGAGACATGCGAAGATTGTGCCGTTGACCTACCAATATGCTATGTACTTTCGTAGATTCGACGAGAACATCAATTCTGGGGTAAATCAATTGTGTAGTCGATCCCCTACTCGAAATACAGGGGTGCTGTGGACCGATCCCCGCATTCGAGTGTTTCTGTGTGCCACGACAGTGCACTCAACTTTGTCACTCATGCACTTGCTGTGTTCGCATGTAGCTGCCATTCTCAATCGAATCCCGACGATCCCACGCAGGGGCGAAACGTTGACAAGCATACTGAAAAAGGCACGCGCTTGATATCGCCATACGGGTCAGGCGTGAGGACCCTGACCGAAAGTGACAAAGTGAACTGATCTGAGAGGGGGTTTAATCTGAGCTGTCCTGGAGGGTTTGAGGGGGTCTGGGCAAAAGGCTGCCCTCTCATGGCTGGTCTGAGGGGGGACTACACTTGCTTTTCTGGGCGAGTTGTGGCCCCTTCCGTTCTACTACGACATGTGGTGAGCAGTCGGCCCGTATCAGAAGGATGCGCGACAAGGATGCAAGGGGCTTGAATGCCTACTTCGAAGCTTCTCGAGAACGGCGCGGCGAACGAAACTGGCCAAGGCTGGACCGAGGAGGCAAGGATGCAGGGGTACCCTTCGGGAAGGATGCCCGTCCTTCTTCTGCGGGCTGACTGTATGTTTCAACGACGCGAAAGCGTCAAGGCTGCTCCCACCCCCCTGCCAGCGGCATCCGCCGAGCTGCGCGGCGCCGTGCCGCGGCGCCCAGAGGGAGAGCGCGCGTGCGCGCCGGCGGCTGCTGCTCACCCGGGGACGTCGCGAGAGAAGAAGAGTCGCCATGACATCCGCGGAGGATCTCATGGCCCAAGTCACGAGATCCCCAGCACTGCCCAATAGAGGCCCAAGACGGCGTGCGAGGGCCCCACGACGGCCCAAGGAGGCCCCACGGGATCCCCACGACTGCCTCATGGGAGGCCGCGGCAGCCCCAAGCGGTCCCAACGCGTTCCACGAGAGCAGCTCAGCTACTGAAGAGAAACGGTGTCACATGTGACGGCCTTCCTCGTCCTGGCCCCGGTCATGAGATCCCCCCCGCAGACGTCACTCCCCCCGCCCTCTGGACCGCCCTCTGGACCGCACCCTCTGCCGAGCGCGCCCTTCGCGGTCTCCCGGGCCGGCGCCTCTTCGCCCGCCGCCCGTGCCGCTCGTGGCTGCGCGAGGGGCCCCGCTGCGCGCAGCAGTGGCCCTGCTCTGGATGGGGCAGCCGTCGCCCCCGTCCCCCCCCCCCCCTGGATGCAGGGAGGGGGGCGGGGCATCGGGCGCGTGCGGCCGGAGCAAGCGCGAGCGGGTGCTGCAGGAGGCGGGGACCGACGGGAGGCGTGGCGCCGGACGCCACCAGGCCACCGAGGGCCACGGGCGGCGCACGCCCCCCGACCTGCGGGCCGCCTGCACGCCCGCGCCTCGGAGGCGCTCTCGACCCCCCAGGGAGCGCCACCGCAGGCCCCGGGCGGGAGGGCCCACGGGCGCTGTCGGCACAGCCCCCTTCACGCGTCGTGGCCCCGCAGGGGGAGCTCCCCTGGCGAGCCCCAGTTGGTCGGGCGGCTCCTCGCCCAGGTCGGCACGCCCCATCGGGCGCGTCTCGTGGCTCAACACAGGAGCCCCACCGAAGATGACTCTTACAGCTGCGCTGGTCACGACTGCATATTGGTTGTGTCCTTCGCCAGGATAGTTATTTGGTTCCAAACTGCGCTGAGTACGTGGATCTCGGGTCTATGGCAGGCCAGCTCAAAATGAGACACCAGGGTCCGATGCGGATGTCTGAGACCGCGGTGTCTTTTGAAACGTATACCACCCAAGCGGTACGTGCAGAAGGACGGGAGGGATATATAGAGGGAGAGAGAGGGAAGAAAGAGAGAGAGAGAGAGAGAGAGAAGGAAAGAAATCGCCATGCTGCGCTACGGTGCAACCCGCTGCAAAGCCCGATCACGCACAGCTGACTGAAGCCAGCGCTGTACCTACAGGCTGGCATCTGCCTTCGAGCCAGAGAACCCGTCCGAGCCCGAGAGCCCACTTCCCTCACCAAGCTGGAGGAGGCTCTGAGTCTTCTTGCAACTTGGGCTCTTCGTTGCGGCCTCAGTGTGATCGTCTCCCCCAAGCAGCCCACCGACAGCATATCCAGCATTCCTGAGGTTCTTGGCATGGAAATTCAGGTAGGGGCCAGCCTGCGCGCGGCTGTGGACAACCTTGAGGCCCACATTCTGGAAGTGCCACCAGCCGTTCTTCGAGGGATCGCTGTCTTCTCCAGCAAAGAACTGCACACACCCCTCGCGGTCAGTGCCTCGCCCACCCGCAACCCACGCCCCGGTGAAATTCACCGCGGTGAAATACATGTCCTCGCACTTGGCGCCAAGGTGCGTCGCCTTGGCGTCGACGCGGAGCAGAGTCTTCTCGGCGAACTGTGGGATGCGCAGGAGGACGTGCACGCCTGGCTGCATCAGGTCGAAGCGCTGGCCATACATGTTGGTCATGTGCGGATCGTCCTCGCCCGTCGAATCGCACTCGCACTCCGGATAATAGCTGGTGTAAGACGGGGCCAACACGGGAGGCCAAGCCGACACCGCCTGCGTCGGTACCCCTGCCGAATACGCGCAATCCTCGAACAAAGAACGGGCGGGGGGAGAATCGTCGTGGCACGTGCACTTCACGCGGCACTCGTTCACCAGAGGGCACCACTCGCAGCCAGGAGATCCGCTACCATACCGTAGGCACTCAGTGGATGGTTCACAGGCCCGCTTGCCCTCAAAATTGAATAGTGTCAGCAATACTCAAGGGGGCCACTCCCGGAGTTCAGGGCGTTCTCGGGCGCTTCAGGGGTGCCTCGGCTCCGAGGGGACTACCAAGAGGCAACTGCCAAGAGGTTCTCCAGAGGCAAAAATCATGAACTTCCCTTCGCAGGGTGTTTGCAGCATGTCCTCTTAGTCGCCCTTTCAGGTTGCAGGACGCACAAGACGGCCTACGAAGCTACTACCAATATCGTACCAAATGCTTCCCAGAGGGCTCCAAAAGGGCTTTCAGTTCGCCTACGAGGGCTCCAAGACGGCCCTCAAGGCGGCCCAAGAGGCCCCCAAGTGCGAGCGGCAAGTCGAACTGCCACTTCGAGCACTTCACCCCCAGATATAGCCCCAGAGCCCGCCCACAGCCCCTACGAGGCCCCAAGAAGGGCCCCAGGAGGCCCCCTCCCGGAGCACCCCCCGGGAGGCCCTTGGAAACACTCAGGAGGCCTCAGCTGCGCCACCCAGGCACGGTGGCGGAAGCTGGAGGGCCAGTAGATCCGCCGCCCCCGTGGCCCGCGGAGGGGTGCTCGGCGCATCGAACTTTCCAGCTCTCCCTTGGGCCACTTCGATACCCAGCCACGAGCCTGAAACATGGTGCAGGCCCGAGAAGCACGGACGCGGTCTCAGGGCACCCGGCCAAACGAAGCACGACTGCAATGCTGACGGTATCGAGCGTGATTATGTGTCGTGCCAGGGGCCGTGCTGTGCAGTGCTGAGTTGATGTGTGTGTGTGTGTGTCATGTCGCGATGAACTGCGTTGTGCTCTATAGCGTTGTGGAACAAGTCGTCCTTAGCGTCCGACTCCTGACCGAATCGATCTGGAACTTAAACTCGAGCTGACTGGGCGCAGAGCTCGCTCTGGGTGCAATCGAAACGTGCAGGGCGCTCAACTAGCTCGAGATCAATACCCAATTCAATTCAAAAAACGGGACGAGCCCAGAATGGGGCGATTGCGAACCGAGGCGGAACGCACCGACAGTGGACGGACCAGAGCGCTGAGACAAGATGATCACCTCTGGGTGGCCTAGGCACGCGAAAGCACGTGTAACGTGAACGGGCGTATGACGCATGTCAGATGCCCACTCCGTGTACTTATTTCTGCGTGCGAAGAGTCCGACGACCCCATGTTAGATCCCCCGCCGTTCCTTGTGCACGTTGAGGCGTGGAAGAATGCCACATGCTGCCTGGTAGGGTTTTGGACCCCCCCCCCGTCCCAAATCGCTTTCCCCGCATTCATCGCCCCCCTGCCGAAACCACGATGCCATGTGAAAAACTGTGGAACCGCGCTCCCGAGGTCACGACCCCTCGTGCAAGCGATGGAGAGGCGTCCCAAGCTCCCGAGACGGCCCATGCAAGCAACCAAGCACACCAAGGTGGCCACAAGTGCTTCGAAGGTGGCCCGCGACGCCTCTGAGGCTGCCCAAAATTGCCTCAAGACGGCCCAGGAGGCCTCAGAGAGGGCAGAGTAAGGTCACAGTGGGACCCCCAGGACCAGCACCAACCTAAATGATTGACCCCTTGAGATTTTCTTGGATGTTGTTCGCATTCTCGCCTGATCGGGCCTGGGTCGGCTCACGCCGGCTCAGGAAACATCCATGACTGCCCCCAGACGTCCCAAGAGGCCTCTGATGGGGGTCCCAAGAGGGCCCACGAAATTCAACGATGGCGCAAGAAACATCCAAGACTTCCTGCCGTGGGACCCACTACTGCCGTATGCTGCATTTCGGCTGTCCCAGACGACCCTATGACTGCCCCCAGACACCTACACTACTGTGAAGATGGCCCCAATACTGCCAAGAAATGCCCAAGACGGCGTACGAGGGCCCCACGACGGCCCAAGGCAGCCCCACGGGATCCCCACGACTGCCTCACAGGAGGCTAAAGCAGCCCCAAGTGGTCGGAACGAGGTCCATGAGAGCAACTCAACTAACCTCATGCCCGTGAGAATAAACACTAGGGGATAATAAAGTTCGGGGTTCAGGGAGAGATAATAAAAGTAGCCCAGCAGACATCAGCATAATCTCGAAGTAAGAGATGATCAAGAGGAGACCAAGCCGAGCACGTTTTGAGACATCCTTGGCGTTTAGTTTTCATAGAAATATCCTCAACAATGGCTTATCTCTCATGAAAATTGTTTTTTGTAAGTGCTCGTGTAGGGTAGCTCATGTGCCTCAATTTCCATGGATAATCAACCCCAGAGATAAAAAAGTTCAGGCGAGCGTGGGGACAGAGAGAAATATAAAAGAAGAAGAATACAGTATAATAATAATAAGAAAGAAGAAGAAGAGGAGAATAAGAAGAGGACGAAGAAAGGAAAAATCCAAAGTTCCAAATCTATCAATTTTAATTTACAAACGCTTTATGAAATTGATTTTTTAAGTGCTCGTGTAGGGTAGCTCATGTGCTTCATTTTCCATGGATAATCAACCCCAGGGATAAAAAAGTTCAGGCGAGCGTGAGGACAGATAGAAATATAAAAGAAGAAGAGGAAAGTAGAAGAATAATAAGAACATTGCTCGTTTCGTTTGAGTCTGCCTCCCAAAATTATTGGTTTCGCTTGACACATCCTGAAAAAGTGTGATCGCTTCGCTTGATGTTGCTATATCAACATCGCTTGATGTTGCTATCTCAACATAGCGTTTCGAGGTGATAATGAAGTTCGGCCTCAGCGCTCGCCGCCCAATTTGAATTTTGTATAGGGCGACGATAATCAACTCTAAACACTGAAGGGGGGGGTCCCTTTATTATCATCGGCATGCGGTTACTGAAGAGAAACGGTGTCACATCTGACGGCCATTCTCATCCTCCTCCTGCTGCTGCCGTTGCTGCTGCTGCTGCTGCTCCTCTTCCTCCTTCTCCTCATCATCATCCTCATCCTCACCACCGCCACCACCATCATCATCACCATCATCATCAACATCATCATCAACACCATCACCATCACGATCAGCATCATCATAATGATCATCAACATCATCAACATCATCATTATTCTAATCATCATCATCATCATCATCGTCGTCACCATCATCAATCTCAACAACATCGTCATCATCGTCATCATCATAATCAACATCCTCATCATCACAATCCGCAACAGCATCAGCATCAGCATCAAGATGAACACCATCGCCATCATCATACCGATCACCATCATCACCACCATGATCATCTCGACCAGCCATGACCACCATTGTCATCATACTCACTACCACCACCACCATGCACTATCAGCAACCCTTTCACCATCACCAACACCATCAACATCATCAGCATCGTCATCCGCATCCGCATCCTCATCCTCATCTTCATCCTCATCCTCATCCTCATCCTCATCATCATCGCCATCCTCATAATCATCCTCATCATCATAATCATCATCATAGGCATCGTCGTTGCCCTCATCCTCGTCCGCATCATCATCTTCATCCTCATCTTGTTCCTCAGCAATATCATCCTCATCATCAGCACGAGCATCAGCATCGACATCATCATCATCACCACCATCATCATAATCACCATCAGCACCATCAGCATCATCATTCTAATCATCAACATTAGCATCACCATGATCATCGCCCTCAACACCATCGCAATCATCACCATAACCATCACCACGATCATCACTACCGCCATCATTAGCACCACCATCATCATCATCATCAGCAGCAACAGAAGCAGCAGACGCATCATCAGCATCCCCATCATCCCCATCTTCCCCACCATCATCACTACAATCATCATCATCATCATCATCATCATCGTCGTCGTCGTCGTCGTCGTCATCATCATGACCACCATGATCATGATCATGATCATCATCAGCAACAACATCATCCACAATCATCATCACCTTCAAAATCATCATCATCATCATAATCCCCATCATTGCCATCATCGCCATCAACATCACCATCGCCATCACCATCGCCACCATCATCATAATAATCATCATCATCATCATCATCATCATCATCATCATTACCATCATCACGGCTCTTCCAGCCATGGAGAAACGAAGCGCCACATGTGACGGCCTCCCGTTTCCCCTCGAACCGTCTCCACCCAGAATGCTTGGCTGGCACAGTGGCGGGACTTGCCGCAGGCAACTTGATATCTGCCTGGGTGGCCTGGACACATGAAAACAAGCGTTTCGCTCGAGACTTTCTCAACGTTGTCTGCAGAACAAGCTTTCCGCTAGAGACATCATCAAACTCTTCTAAGCAAGCGTTTTGCCTGAGACATCCCCAGCACATTCTGCAAAAGAAACGTTTCACGTGAAACATCCTCAACGAATTCACAGGCCCTGCGCGACCTTGTTGTTTTATTAAAAACATCGCCGGCCCTACGCAAGTCGAAGGCGGGCGCAAATACTACACTGAATGAAGATCCTTAGGCTCATGCCGTTTCCAAGAGAAAATTCCCAGTGGTCTCCGGTCCAACCCGCTGGCCCTGTGGACTTGACCGAGAAAACGCCATCTCGCAACAGCTGCTCCGCCCAAGATGGCCTCGAAGACGGGCCCAAGCTGCTCCCAACATGCCTGCAAGACGGCCCCAGCTGGCCCCAAGACGGCCCAAGACCTTCTCAAGACGCACCAAGAGGCCCCCAAGAGCTTTCGCGTTCTGGTCTTGCCGGGCCTTCCAAAACCCAAGACGGCCCAGACTCCCTCAATATCGTCCCACGAGGCTCCGAAGAGGGCCCCAAGACTGCCGAAGATGGCCACAAGCTGGCCTCAAGACAACCCCAAGGCGGCCTACGAGAGCCCCAAGATGGCCCAGGAGAGCTCCAAGACGGCCCCAAAGAGCCCCCAGGAGGGCCCCAAGACGGCTCAGTGGTTCAGATAGGCCCCCAAGACGGTCTCCGAGGAAACCAAACGGCCCGAGAGCACCCCAAAACGCCCAAGAGAGAATCCCAGGGTGGCTCGTGTTCCGATGTGAACGAGGATTCTCCTCCTCCTCCTCCTCCTTCCTCCTCCTCCTTCTCCTCCTCCTCCTCCTCCTCCCGTTGTTCTCCCAACAGCTGAGGGAACCACGCAATCCACCAGCGTGGCCGCGTTTGCGCTCCATCTTTGTGGGCCCCGGAAACGGCAAGGCCGTTTTTTCACCGTTTCCAGAAAAATGTCCCTTGAAAATGGGAACGGTAAAAAAACGGCGACCGGAAACGGCAAAAAAACGGCTCCAGGACTGGAACCGCCCAAGAAGGCTCCAAGACGGACCGAGAGAGCCCTGAGACTGCACCGAGGCGGCCCAGGATTGCCCTAAGACGGGCCCAGGGAACCCCAATTTGGCCCAGAGGGCTCCAGGAGGCGTCAAAGAAGGCCCCCAAAGGCCAGAAACGAGCACCAAGACATCCCCTCAGAAGGCATCAAAAGGCCCCCTCCCCAGTGTTTCCCAACAATTTCCCCAACAGCTGGCGGAACGCGCAGTCCACTATAGCGAGGCCGTCGACATGTCATGACAGAGGCGCTGCCTCAAAACAGGGGGCGGCGGGGACTCGCCGCATGCCTCTTTAATACCGTTCCCGCGGTTGCACAAGTTGCTGGGCCATTCCCCGGGCAGTCGTTAAAGATCTGGACATCTGGGCAGACTGTGCACTGGTCGCGGGCGCGCGCCTGTCGAGGACGACGATCTGCATGCGAGGCGTGTCCAGCAGATGCATTGGCAGCGAGGGCGACCTGGAAGAGCTGAGTCTCCAGCGTGGCACACTCCTTAGCAAACGCGCCCACCGGGAGGAACGCCAGGAGGCTGGCGATCACAGCGCCGTACATCGATAGGTTGTCACGTGGTTCGGTCCAATGTTGACAATGTATGGAATGGGCTGAAAGTATCGCGCACGTATCTCGGATGCAGAAGCCCGAGCCCAATGAGCTAAACGGCAACATACTATGAATCATATGAAGGTAGCAGCAATTACTGCGACCGCCGTCAACGAAAGCAGCGAGGGGAACGGCTACAGACGCAGCAGTAGTCATCACCAATTGTCACCATTGCCATAGATCTGGCAATCGTGGCTGCCAAGGTACATGTAGGTGTTCGTGCATGCAGTGGGCTGGCGGTTCTGCATCGCCACACCCCAGAGTCGGGAGATACCACCCTCTCCTGGCATGCACACCTCCCTTCCGCCGATCTCTTCTTCACACGTTGCCAGCACTCCCTCGCCGCGTCAGGGCATGCGGCCATAGCAGAGCAAGGTGGGACTGGCATTACGATCATGACGTGCACGTCGTTCATTTCTAATCGTGCTCATTTCTATTGTTCCTGGCCCCCTAGTGGCCAGGAAGAGGTCCCGGATAGAACAATTAGAAGTGAATGTATCTTGGCCCCCCAAAAACAGAGACTTTTCGAATAATTAGACATGAGCCATGTGTATTGCTTAGCGTGTCGCGGCGGCGGGCCCGGCGACAAGCTGTGCTGGGCCAACTGGCAGCGTGTCGCTGATCTCCGCGGGCCGTGTGGCTGGGGAAGGCTCGGGGCACCGACGCTGGGGAACCGGGGCGTGCATAGCGTGTCGCGCCGAAGCGTGGTGGGCCAGAGCCGGCGGAACGACAAGCTAAACCAACATTCCCGACCGAGTTGATGTGCCATGCTGCGATGGCTTGCGTTGTGCTTCATAGCGTTGTGGTTCGAGTCGTCCTCAGCATCCGAGCCCTGACCGAACTGGCCTGGATCTTGAGCTCGAGCTGCCCGAGGGCACAACTGGCCCAGGGCTGGCTGCAGTCGAAACGTGCGGGGCGCTCAACCAGCTCGAGCTCAAGATCCGCCTCGGTCCCGGAACGGGGCGAGACGACGCGTCGTGGCGCAGGGGCGCACGGACGCGCGACGGCACGTGCCAGGGGGCGCACCGAGGGGTGCGCCAGGGGACGTGTCAAAGTGCCGTGGACCTGCCACGGGACGTGCCAGGGCGCGTGCCAACGGGGCGTGTCAGCAGACGTCGTGCCAGGGGCCATCCCTGCGGACACCCCAACGGACGCGGCACGGAACGGGAAGGGGGAAACGCCAGGGGACGCGCCGCGGGACTCGCCGGGGGGCGCGCCAGGCCACGCACGCGCCAGGGGACGTCGCAGAGGACGCGCCGAGGGGGCGCGCCCGCGACGGGGGCGACTCCGAGCGCAACGAAGCGCACCGAGACGGCGACGAGGCCCCGTCGCGGCGTCGTCGTGCGCAGGCGGGGAGGCACCCCAATGCCGTCCAACTCCGCTGGAGCCGAGCAGTGCCGTGCCGCGGCGCGAACCGCCTCATCCCTCGTTCTCGCGCTCCCACCTTTTTTTTTTTTGTTTTGTTTCTCTCTCTCTCTCCCTCCCTCCCTCCCTCCCTCCCTCCCTCCCTCTGTTCCTCTCTCCCTGCCTCCCTCTGTCCCTCCCTCCGTCTCGCTCCCCCCTTCCCGTACTCCTCCCTGCTCATCTTCCTCCCGTCGCTCCTCCAACCTTCCTACCACAACTCGGATCTCTTACCAAACTCGGGCGTCCTGGAACGTCCTGGTCTCCTCCGGAACTCCGCCTCGCCCAAGAACCTCGGCCTCCCCTCAGAGCCTCAGCCATGCTGCTTACGCGAAGAGCCAGGCAGGCAACGCTCAAAATCCGAATTCGCTCGAGACATCCTCAACACGTTCCCATATTAGAGATCCGCCTGGGAGACTTCGACACCTGAACGCACGCTTTACACCCAAGACACCCTCACCCCCTCCTCATGTTAGAGATCCGCCTGGGCGTCGTTGACACGTGAAAACAAGCCTTTCGCTCGAGTCATGCTCAATAATATTTCATGTTGGATATCTGCCTGGGGCGGGACACGTGAAAACGCGTTTCGCTCGAGACATCTCAGCGTTTCCTCATGCTAACATCTACCTGGGCGACCTGTGCACGTGAAACACGATTCGCTAGCGATATCCTCAACGCATCCTCATGTTAGAGATCTGCCTTGGCGACCAGAATGCACGAAAACAAACGCCCCGCTCGAAACAAAAACTACCGTTTTAGAACCCGAGCGGCCGGAATAAATGAACACAAGCGTTTCACCCGCGATATCCTGAACACATTCTCATGCTAGCTGCTATTTCCCACACATCCTACTTGGGGTCTTGTCCCCCATTTCCTAAGTGGAGTTTCTGCTTTCCCTGCACGCCCCCGCGAAGGAACAGGAACACCCCCGCATCATCATCGTCCTCATCACCATTCAATCAGCACCCATCTTCCTTACTTTCCCTGGATGACATCTGGTCATCGCCACCATCATCACCACATCATGTTTTCACACTCGCCATCACCACAACACTCGCATCATCACCGTATCATGCTTAAGCACGCGCTCGCACACTGACAATTCTGTTCAGGGAGTCTCGAGCGGGAGCCTCGTCCGTGAGTGAATGGCGAGGAAGTCTCAAGCGAGAACCCTCCCCCCATGGATCCCGCAGCTCATGTTACTAATCTGGACATGTCATCGGGGAACCTGTAACTGTCGTCCCGTCTTCAAGCTTGAGCATGGAGGCGGTCTTGAGCGGGAGCCTCGTCTGTGAGATAAAAGCGAATCAATTTCAGGCGGGAGCCCCCTCCCTGCAGGGCCCGCGACTCATATTGCTAATCCGGGCGATCCATCGGGAATATGTAACTGTCGTCATTGCTTGTTTTTCCAAATGGAAGATGGAGGAAATCTCACGCGGGAACCTCGTCAGTGAACGAATTGCAACAAACCATCGGGCGGGAGTCCCCGCCCCATGGGGCCCGCAGCTCATTTTACTTACTAACCCAGGCGGGCCATCGGAACCTGTAGTTGTCGTTGCTTCTGGCCCTTTTCAAGTAACAGTGCGGATGCGGTCTCAAGCGGGAACATAGTCTGCGAGTTGAATGGCCCCCTCCCCGTGTCGCCCGCAGCTCATGTTACCAACCCAGCCGGGCCATGGACCATCTGTAAGCGGGAACCTCGCCTGTGAGTGCCTTGCGATAGAATTTTAGGGCGGGAGCCAATCGGCTCCCTTGTAAAAAAAAAAAAAAACGCAACGAAGTTTTGAGCGGGACCCGACGGTCCTGACGACGACGGTTCGGCCGAGGCGCGGGCGGGTAGCTTGCTGATGTCCAGCCCTAACGAACAGGAGCTCGCGAAGCAGACCTCGGGGGCGCACGTTGGGCGCCGCTCGGGATTCACCCTGGCGCACGGGCCCCACCTGACCTCCACGATGCCGCAGGGCCGAACGCTGTAAAAAGGCGTCACCATCGACTGCGCCAGGGATGAGGGCGCTGGCCGCACGGGCACGTCAGAAGATCAATGGTGTGCACCTTCGGCCGCCGGCGTCTCTGCGGAAGATTCATCTCCCCCACCCAGAGAACAATGTTTCGTGGCCCCAGAGGGAGCTCCACCGAAGGCCCCAGTGGCCCAGTTCGCATGCGTCTCCCCCACCCAGTACAGTGTTTCGTGGCCCCAGCCCCACAGGGAGCCCCACCCAAAGTCCCAGTGACGCAGTTCGATCGCGTCGCCCCCACTCAGTACAGCGTTTCTTGGCCCCATAGGGAGCTCCACCAAAGGTCCCAGTGGCGCAGTTCGTATGCGTCTCCCCTACCCAGTACAGCGCGCGTCGCCCCCACCAAGTACAGCGCTTCGTGGCTCCATAGGGAGCTCCACCGAATGTCCCAGTGGCGCACTTCGCATGTCGCCCCCCACCCAGTACAGGGTTTCGTGGCCCCATGGGGAGCTCCACCGAATGTCCCAGTGGCGCAGTTCGCATGCGTCGCCCGCGCCCAGAACAGCGTTTCGATGGGAAGCTCCACCGAAGGCCCCAGTGGCAAAGTTCGCATGCGTCTCCCCCACTCAATACAGCGTTTCGTGGCCCATCGGGAGCTTTACAGAAGACGATATTCGCGGTACCCGCAACTGCATATGGTTGGGTTCTTCGCCAGGCTATTGTTTCACTGCGTTGTAGCCTTTTCGGGCTTCTGGCAGCCCTCTACGGCCCAAAAAGCTCCCAAGATCGCCCCAAGACGGTCTAGAACATCGCCAAGAAGGCCCCAAGACGGCCCAAGAGTCCCAAGACGACCCACGGTGCTCTAAAAGGGGCCCACGACGGCCTAGGGAGACCCTCAAGACGACCCGAGAGCCACAATATGGCCGAAGCAGGCCGATCAGAGTGCCAACGGCACGAGTACCATCCCAATACAACCCCTCCCCAATGCTCCCCCAATGGTTTCCCGAACGGCCGGGGAACACGCAGTCCGCTTGCGTGGCCGCACAGGCAGGGGGCGGCATTGCCTGGCCGTAGGGGTCTTCGATCATGATGGTCATTCTTTCTCTCCTCCTCACACACATGCGATCGTCAACACCCGCTCTGCGACTCTTCGCTTCTCCTGACTCTCGAATGTCATTCGCAAACTCAACTTCGTCACCCTATAACTTTCCCCAGAAGCCGCTCAACTCTGCGATTGTCTCCCGCGGCTTCAGCTCAAAAACTTCGGACACGTCAGCGCCCTCCCACCGAAATCCGTACACGGGCGGGCAGAAACGCGAACAATGTCTAGAGAACATGGAAATGGTATTGGCGCCGGCGTCCTTCATCACGATGAAATCTCTGCGCTTGAGGTCGCGCGGCAAGCGAATGTTCTTTGCCACGAAGTCGCCCTGGAAGCACAACGGTCCACCGACCGACGTGTCAAGCTGCTGCGCACCATTTTCGAACGCCGAGCCATCCTCTTTGTACGCTTCCAGCCTCCTCTTATGCTCCTCCCCTCTGTACACTTGACGAACGCAAGAGTCGGCACCAAAATGAATGATTGCGATGGGATTCGCGCTCGTGCCCTTTATCCACTCTACCCTCGAAGCCAGAAAGCCGCACTTGGCGAACAGGCTCTGCCCGAACTCAGTGATTACATGGAACTCCCCAGTGAAAAGCTCTGGGATTTCTCTCCTCAAATGCTGGGCGTAGGCCAGATGGGTAGGCACGTTTTCAGTGGCCCACGCGTCTGACCCGTAGTTCGCGGGCAAGCCGCCACCAATGTCCAAATGCGTGATCTGCTTGTGCTTTACAATGCTGTTGATTTCCTTCGCAAGGTCAACGAGAACACGAACGCCACCCGTCAGCACCGCAAGACCCATCCCCCCAGAACCCACATGGATGTGCATCGAATTGAGCCACGGGTTCTCCACATACGCTTTAATCAACTCTTCCTTCTCACTGACTGCTACGCCGAACTTGCTTTCTGCGGTGCTCACCGAGAGGGCGGCGATCTCCCCCGCCCCCACCAACGGGTTGATCCGGAAACCCACAACCCGTCCAGGAGTTGACTTAGAATCAGAC